CGGCCCTGATGTTAGGATTTATTCAAGTCAAATATTTCTTTGTCCCCCTTGGAATTATATGTGACACCTCACTCACCAACCCAAGGCCACTCTTGCGCCCCTCTCTTTGGGGTACACACCGTACTGGGTGTCTCTGCCTGCTGCCAGCTCCCAGGGCAGCCACCTACTTAATCTACATTTCAGATCCGTAACTCTCTGCACAATGATGGGGAGGACCCCTGTGTTGCTATGTTTAAAGAATTTACACAACCAGCCTGCTCCCTTGTTGCTGGCAGCCCGCTTAACTTTGGGAAAAACTCTCTTCAATAAAATCAAACAGCAGTGCTTTATAGCTCTGTTCCAACGCTGAATGTGGGAACTGAAAATAAAACATATGTTTCTATTACAAAGGAATAAAGGCCATTTCAACTGAAAACACTTTACAGACCCTAAGAACAATCATCAAGACAACAGAAGTCATAAAATCAACGCCAGAAAAGGGTGACACTCGATAGTCAATCTTGCCCCAAACGCGATGAACGATTCTTTTCACTATCAAAGCCAGAACACAGAACCTATTACTGCAAGTTAATCTTCTGAAGTGTATGCAATGGAATCCAATTCAACACACATATATGTGTGTACTTGCTTGGCTGTACAGCTTGCTTGGAGTGTGAAACTTGCTACATTATGGCTGTGTCTACACAGCCAAATGCTTCCAAATGCACTGTATAATTTGCTTAAAGAAGCTGAAGAAGGTGCTGGAGACAAAGCAGAGAGTGAGAGATACCAGGTGCACCAGGGTGAAGGTCAACCAAGATCAGATATTGGAAACCACATGCTCTTTTCATACAGTATAAATAGTACACTACATCTGCATTTTAAAAAACACATAGAAGAATTTAGAAAGAGGAATTGGATATTTACATAGTTAAATTACCTCTTAATTACAAAGGGTAAAATAGTCACTTTGCAGTGGGGAAATCCAGTGGGCACTACCTTACCCAAAAGATAAAGTCATTGCCAGCAGTCCTGGGACGATGTGACCCCACGTCCTGAGACGCTCACAGCACAGCTTACACGGTGCTCCTACCAAAGGGGCACGCCCAGAATCCAAGCACGAGGAAGCAGACAAATGCGACTCAAGGGGCATTCTACAAAATGACCAGTCTGTCTCCAAAAATACCAAGGTCAAGAAAAAGAAAGGCTGAAGCACTATTCCAGATTTAAAAAGACTAAAAGGACACGACAGTTGAGGCAACATGGACTGTGGAGCGGATCGAGGCTGAGGAGACTGACGTCCAGAGAGACGAGGACTCCTCTTTGGATCACCCAGCCCCTTAGTGCCAGCGCTGGGACGAGCCACACCCAGAGCTCTCTCCAAGATGCTAGACCTGAGAGGTTAGAGGTCAACTCCCAAAATTCATGCATTTTTCCAATATTTCATTTTTAGCCTTAAGCACTGTTTAGGTAAAGCTTTTATCCTCCACCAAGAAAAACTGTATAGCAGGCTCTTGACCTTCATGGATCTAACAGTCACACTTTTTAAAACACATGAATAATCATCAAGACCCAAGACCTGTAATGCTCTGTAAGTAAACTGAGTCAAAAGACAGAATCTTGTGTGCTATGTGGCTAATGAAAGAAAACACAGCTAGTGGGTGAACCTAATCCACGATCCGTTGTGGGTGTCCAAATAACAGAAATGCTAGCTTTGAAGGGAGTAGCAAATAATGCCCCCCAAACCAACTGGCTACACCCAGTAAGGAAATTGATGGGAAAAGTAACGAATCCAGCAACATTCTTCAGCTAGAAACTGGAGCTAGGCTTCCCTCCACTGGGTAGAGGAAATCACATGGTCCCGGCGACACCTTCATATCTGGGATTCCTAACATCTCCAAATGTTCTTGGCAAATGACAAGGGTCTATCAGACTTTTATTTGTCGTAAAATTGTTTTACATTTCATCTGGCAGAACCGTTCCTGCATGATCACCCTTTTCTGCCTTCTTGTGACAGTTAAAATCAGATTAAACTGAACATCAGGGAAAGCGCTGACAGGAACAAGTTCAAAAAAAACGTGAAGCGAATCTGAGGAGTGGAGGAGTCGCCTCTCCACGACGGCTCGAGGCGCGGGAAGTTCCAAGGATTATGAACGGAGCAAATTAAAAATATATATATACACACACACAAACGCGTCAGTCCTCATTACTCATTTCTTCGTCTTAAAAATTACTGAGCACCTTCTGGGTGCCAGGAACTGTCGCAGGAGATCCAGCGCTGAACACATCTGACACAGTTCTTCGTGGAGAAACGCTAGAGTTGGGAGCGGGTGGGGACAGGGATCAGGAAGGGAATGTGAAATGTGACGTGAGGTGGTAGGGAGAGCGGTGAAGAGAAATGCAGCAGGACGAGGAGATGGTGCCAAGGGGAGAGGACGTTTTGGCTCAGGGGTCGGAGAAGACTCCTCCTGAACAATGCCATAGGAGCCAAGATGGCATGGGGGAGGGAGCGGCCACGTGGGCATCTGCAGGGGGAGGAGCCGTCCCACAGTCGGGACCCTGAGGTCACCACGTGAGCACAGGCCACGGGGGTTGCTGAGGACACGTCTGGATGAGGCGGGCACAGGAGAGGGTTCTGAGCACAGGACATCGGCACGACTTACGTGCTAGCTACAAAGTAGAAAGTTGTCATTCACAGAGCAGGAACAAAAACAAGTCGGGCTGGAGGCCCTGTGATGGCATGGGGGAGGCGGCAGTGGGGGTGGCTCAGGCGGAGTAGCAGCCGAGGCGGGAGGAAGCCGCTGTCAGATGCTGGAAGTGAAGCTGACAGGACTGCTGGGGACAGATCGGCCCTAAGCTAACATCTGTTGCCAATTTGCTTTTTTTTTCCTTCTTCTTCTCTGCAAAGCCCCCCAGTACATAGTTGCAAATTTTTAGTTGTGGGTCCTTCTAGTTGTGGCATGTGGGACGCCGCCTCAGCATGACCTGATGAGCAGTGCCATGTCCGTGCCCAGGATCTGAACCCATGAAACCCTGGGCCACTGAAGCTGAGTGCGTGAACTCAACCACTCGGCCATGGGGCCGGCCCCCACAAATGTAGAGTTTTGAGAGAAAAAGATAAGCCCACAGTGACACTATGGCTTTTAGCCTTAACCATCAGGTGGCCACATACAACATTACAAAGGAGAAGTCTGAGGATGAGCAAGATTAGGGACCGGGAGAAATCAAGACATGATGTCCACACGCTGGGTTTCAGGTGCCCCTTAGTTGTCAGAGCAGAGGGGGCTGGTCGACAACCAGACATACCCAGCGCTGGGGAGAGGTACTAATAAATGCAATCAACACGTATAAAAAATAACAAGAAGTGCATATATGTGTTTGTGTGTCTGTGTGTATATTTAAGTATATATGTGTGTACACACAGACACACATACAAGGAAACTTCAAGAAGGAAAACATGGGAGAGAAAGGAGAAGAGACACTTGAGCATTGTAACGTATCTACCTTTGGCACTATTTGAACATTTTGTGATGAGAATGTACTACTTTAGTAATAAATAGGGCATTTTTTTGTTTCCTGCAATAAAATAACGAACTGATGAAAAAATTAAATTCAGAGAAGTACAGAGTGAAGAAAAGACTGCTGTGAAAACAACGCTCAAGGGCAACCATCGTTAACTTCTACATTATTTCCTCCCAGTTTTTTTCTAGATGTTTCACAGTATCTACACACAAAACTCTTTTTTCAAGTACAGCTCATCTTTGCTTCTCTGTTTTAACACACATGGGATGACGCTGGACCCAAAGGCGGCAGCAACAGAATTCGCCCACACTTTCGTTTTGTTTTGTTTTGAATTTATGTCTTCTGCTCCTCGAGAGGGCTGCACTGTCCTGTTCCTCAGGGCCTCCCCCAACCCTCCCGCCCGGATACACTCACCAGGACCCTGCCATCTGGGGATGTGGGCACCTCCCGCCCCTGCTCCTCTGCAGCCTCCCTTACAATAGCACAAGCATGTTTCCATTTCATAAAGATCTGTGTGTAAACCTACTTTCCAAACGGCCATCTTTACGTGTCATTCTCTGTACACATTCCTAATGTGGCATCAAACTTGTTATAAGGTATCTTTTAGCATCATCTCAAGGAGTCACATCTAGTCACCAAAAGAGTCAAGACTGACACGGTTTCCCTTCAGTTCATTCAGTAGTGTCTACCACGGGCCCATGCGTGCATGCGTGTGAGAGTGTGGCGGGGGGTGCAGCGGGAACAAATTTTTAAAGATAATTTCAGACAGTGAAAAGTGCTGTTAATAAATTAACAACACAAAAAAATGTAACCGGGAGGGAGGGGAGAAGAGAGGGGGTGCTCTTTAGCTGAGTGGCCAGAGAAACCCCCCAAGGAAGTGACACTTGAGCCAAAGCCCGGTGCAGAGGAGGCAGCAAATATCCCAAGAAGAGCCCCCCAGGACTAGGGAGAGGGAACGTGGGAGGCCTGGGCGAGGACGAGGGGCTGCCGAGGGACAGGGGCGGGCTGTGTGGCCGCAACACAGCAGGAAGGGGGCGCAAATGACGGAGGGCCTTGACGGCCACCGGAAGGAGCCTGGATCTTTATTCTCATTGTAACAAGAAACTACTGGAAAGTTCTTAACAGGGACACGATGGGGTCTGACTGAGGCTTAGCGATGACGGGGTGTGTTGTTGGGGACGGACTCAACTGCAGGGGGCAGAGCCCAGTCAGGAGGCTGCAGTGCATCTGCCGAGAGCTGACGGCAGCTTGAACCAGCATCCCAATGACCGTGGTGGTGAAAAGCAGCCTGATGCGACATATGTTGGAGTACCTGCTGATGGAACCGGGATTCCGGGACTGATGAACAGGACCGGCGCCCCGCTCAGCACTGGGAGTGGCTCCTGGCCTCACACGGACCTTCTCAGTACACGGCTCGCTGGGGTGCACAGAGGGTGCAGGCAGCAATCACTTGCAGAATCAATAATGAAACGTAAAATGTATCGTACTGTCTCACTTACCCAAATTGGGATCAGTAGCCTGACGTTTCTTAATTTTAGCTTCAGAAATAGCAGAATAATAGGCACAAGTCATCTTGATCAGCCACGTTGCTCGAACCATTGGCACTGAGTATTTAGCTAAATATGCAAAAACATCTTCCTTTTTACTAAGGATGGGAACCTAAAAAGTAACATATTTACAATAATCACACATTACGTTCATCGCTAGGCAAACCTAAAGAAAGGGGAAGCAAGAGAAAGAGACTAAGTTTTGCAAGTACATCCTTAGTGGGTTTTCAAACAGCACATGCAGTTAAAACAAAAAAGAAACATTTCAAGTAAATTTTCATTAAGAAAAAAAGAACCAAAACTATGTTTAGCACACTGGCAACACAACTTCATCAGTTGTGCCTTCTTATTTATAAAAACAAATTATTATCAGTTTTTCAGACGCTGAAAGCTACTCATGGTATCAACAAAATAGGGGAAACAATTTCATGACAGTCCTCCGAGGAGTTTCTCTCAAAACTGGAGAGGACAGATCAAGAGAAAAACTGTCCCCACTCTACATTTTATCAGAAAACACTTTTTGTATAAAAGCTTTCCAACTGCAACATTTCATAAGAATAACAATTTCCAGAAAGCTTCTAAAGGTGCCTTTAGCCCAAAATTTAAAATAGAGGCTAAAATGATGGATCAGTGAATCTGCCTAATAAACACTGAGCTAGAAATAGCTGGGTAATTAATTCACTGGTTGAAAGTAGGCACTTGAGGCAGTTAATTATTTCTTCCAGACCACAAAGGTACTATTTAGCAAATTAGTATCCCATGTACCACTGAATGGTTTGAAAGAGTTAATCCACTCTTCTAGAATTCCTCATAAATATCCTAGGAATAGCCCACTCATCTATATATAATCTATTCAAGCTATGAATAGAGAGCAAAACAGTGGACACAGAGTATGTTGGCTGTGATGCAGCAGGACGGGCGCAGAGAGAGGAGAGGCGGGCGCCCCCACACCAGATGAGCCTCACTCCTGGCCCAGCCTGTGTGGTTAAGTCCTTCACCCCAGGCTCTTCATGTAGGAACGTGAGAATACCCACCTTGTCCACCTCACGAGTGGTTAGAAGGGTAAAGCAAAAGAATTACACATATCAAAATTAGAACAATTTTTATTTTGTTGCCAGTTCCAAAGATTTCTCCATGCCAGCCACAGTGTTTGCAAGCCATGGGTTGACCCTCTCCTGAGACAATCCTGGCCACCATAGCCATGGACATCTAGAGCCCTGGTCTCTATGCCCCACACTCCTGCTTGTTTTGTGTTGGCAGTCAAGGCTTCAAAACTGCTAACTGACTCCTTTAGCATGGTGTTGTTCTCTTAGCCAAACCCTCATTTAGGCAGTGGATTTTTTCCATCAGACATAACAATTGACTATTTGACTATTTACATATGGGTACAAAGTACAATCCTAGAAGTAAAAGACAAGTATTTTTGTACATGGTCCTTTAAAATGAGTGATTTCACCTGGTTCTTAGCAAAGAAACATCCAGCAGCTGCAATGCTGACGGAAAAGCTGCCTGGTTGGACACTGAGATGCAGTGTCCACACATTGCAATAGACTTTGATCACGTACAGTTCCTGCCCTGGGTGCTGACCTCAGAACACGACCCTGTGACAGAGGCAACTACCCTGGACAGACACAACCCACAGGGAGAAGAGAGTCACACAGGCCATGCTGTAAGCGTCCTCTCTGTGGACCACAGTGATGTGTCTTAGCAAGAAAATTCCTGAAAATTGAGCTCACAAAGCACACCTTTCATGGAGCACAAGGCTCGGGGTTTACTGACTATGCTTTAATCCAGGCACAAGAACAGCACAGGCTTATACATTCAGTTCAAGACCTGAGCGGCTGCTCTTCACTAGAACATGTCGTATGATATCGTGGAGATAAATCTTAGCTGTCAAGGTCAGGTGGCCTCTCATTCAGACGGACCAAAAGACTGCAAGATCAAGGCCCAAAAAATAGGCAAATGCAAAAAGTAAAGTTAGCATCTCCAAAGGAACATAACTCACAGTATCTGTTAGAGACGCCTAAGGGATTTCTTCTGAACAGCAACTGACAGGACGGAAAAGAAACATTTTGAACATGTGAAATGATGAAATGGAATAGCAAACAAAACCAAGTCACAGTTCTCCCATTAACGGCACAAGGCAAATCTCCAGCTCACTGCCCCTCTGGGCAGAACCGAAGACAAATGGTTGACTCAAATGAAGGACTTTAGAATTCAGAACACATGTGAAGAAAGTTACATGATTAACGAAGAAGACACGTATGGATAACGTTTAGTCAAATTTACAGTTTGGGACAACTCAGGAAGGAAAATATGTTTCTACTGACGGAAGCATGACTTCCTCACAGTGATGGATTCCGTCTTCAGTAAAGAAACCATCTGACTTTAACTTGTAGATCAACGTAGGCAATCGCTAGGAGCTGTTTGGTTTCTAAATCAAGCTAGAGCTGCATCTAAGTACCAAAAGAAAACTAAGACAGCAAGCATGTGATGGTTTTCCACGCACAAAAGGGCTGCCCTGTACCAGCCTCTTCTGCTCACTCAGCAGCAGCAGAGGAGAAAGGCAATCCCATGAACCACAGAAATCAAGGTCAGCTGAAGCAAGCATGGCGCATGAGCTGCTCAGGAGCCAGAAGGCTATCTGTAGGGGCCAGAAGTCCCAGCTCCAGCGATGACTGCGATGGAGTTAAAGGGCCCTTTACAGGCCATTGTTGACTCCCTGTGGCTAATACTTGGAGCGCCGTGGCGCCTTATCGTAACAGAAAACCAGGTCCGGAAACCTGATCCATCCCATGCAGGAAACTATTTTAACTCCAGATCAGAGCTGGAAGATGACTCAGGATCTCTGCAGGAAAATGAAGGTCTTCTGCCTTAAGCCATCTCCCAAATAAATACCAGAAAGTAAAGAAGAGCATTTGAACTTTCTACATGACAAGCAGGCAGAGACTATAATCTCTTCCCCAACTCTGAAAGCGCTTTCACCTTCTCAAGAAGACGATAGGCCGAGGATGGGAGGGGGGACGGACTCTGGAAATGCCCAAGAAATGAATACTTGAAGGTACATGCAATGCTTTCATAAAGAAAACATCCTTAACTTTTCAAAGAATTTACGTCGCGGCTTACCTGAGGAACACCTGATTTGGCCAGAGGCAGCTCCTAATAAAGAGAGAAGAACAATGGCTAATACACTGCACCATAATTCACCTCCCTCCTAAAAGATGCGAGATCACTACACCCCTGAAGCAAGGACATCGATTCCTCACCAGTATTCACTTTCAGGAAATATCCAAAAACTGCACTCTAAAAGCTTATGATAAAGGAAAACCTAAAAAAGAAAGATGTCAGGCTGACTACGTGGGAGTTGAAAGTACTAACCAACATGGAGGGTATGAACTACTGGTAGAAAGCCGTCGAATATCGAAAGATGCCCATTGACCTCTAGGGCCTGCAGATGCGAGCCAGAGGCCATAGTGGGCCACATGGTGAGCGTTCACCACTGGAAGAGACATGCTACACGGGTCAGCCTGTGTGAGACAGGGACACCGCCTGAGGAGCAAGGGGTGGTTATGCTGGCTGTCGTGCTTTTCCAGGATTCAGTTGCTTTAACCACTAAAGTCTGTGAAGGCAACACAATGCCATGACAAGAAGGCAAAATAAAGTCCCTGCGAGCTGCAGGCACTATTTTCAAAGAGTTGCTTTAAAAAAACAAGCAAGCAAACACACAATGGGTGTCCTCTACAATGGGCCTGTACCATGCCAGTTAATGAAAACTCTATCAGGAACAGAAGACGGACACCCCTAAAACTAGAAGGTTTCAGGGGAAAGGAGAAAGACCTCTGGGATTATTTGAAAGGTGTGCAAGAAGTCAGAGATCAAGATAAAGAGGGAGGTTTCTAGCTCTCATCCAAATGTCAAGACACGTTACATTATTTTGACTATAAGAGTGTCGCATCTGTGTATTATTTCCCACTTGAGGAAAATGATCGAAGGCAAAGATTTTTTAACCCCTCCCCCTCAAAAAAAAAAGCTGGGAGCTATGAATAAACCTGGCCATTTTGTTCTAAAACTTTTTCAAAGAAGTTTTGCAAGCATGCACAGAATCACTGTCTTTATCTCACTTGTTAGGAAGGACACTTAGCTTAAAGCGGTTGGAAGGTTACTTTTAACAACAAAGAAATAACATCCAACAAGGATTTCTATTAACATGTTTTGGACATCCTGGCCTAGGAAAACTGAAAATGCAATAGAAATAAATAAAGTCTTATTGCCTGTTTTTGATTTAAAAGCTTTGTCTACCCAAAGTCCACAGAAACTGCTGCCGGGGTGGAACGTTTAGGACCACACGCCATCACAATAAAGGGAGAAACAGCACACATGCAGCACACACCCAGTGCAGCGTCCCGGCCATCGAGGCTGTGAGTTTTGGAGGAAACCGGGGAAAAGAAATATATACTTGAATATTATCTCAAACGTGTTCGTTTCTATAAGACCATAATCAAAACAATGTTAGAAATACTTAATACCTTTTTTGCCAAAATAGCAAGTGGTTTATTCCCTGCTAAGTCAGAGAACCAGCTATGGATTGCACTCTGGGATCGAGCAGTAACCAGCCAGTAATTATCTTTCGCATTAACTTGCGGTTTCTTCTTCCCAGTGTCCTGGAAAGTGTTGAGTTTTAGTTTCTCAGCTAAAATGCTGCTGAAATAAGCTCCGATCTGTGGAGATTAGAGAAAAAAATGACAAGTTTAAAGACAATAAGCAGGTATGTCCGTAATGTATATTATTTTGTGTTAATTGAAAATCTTCAAACAGCCCATCAGAAAATAAAATGACAGTTTAAGTCCTTGAAGCCAGGAGTTGTGATTTCCTTAGCGTAACATCATGCCAAAACTCCCACAGCACCTTTGTTTCACAATTAACAAGTAGTTCAAGGGAAAAAAAAAAAGCGCCTTTGAAAATCTCTGAAATTAATTACATCCCAAATAAATTTCAAGAGAATGGGTGCTGCTTTCATCTTCAGCTGCACGTCTCCTTTTTCATGCCATACACCCATTCGGAGAGAATGTTTCTCCTGAGAGGTGCTGTGCACAAGAGCAGAAACCCTAGTAATCACATAGTAATCACGCCTGCTCTTGTCTCATCCTCATAGCACATGTTTTTGGAAAGGAAATTCTGTATTTACACTCAGTGATTTTAAAAAAGAGTCTGGAGAAATTTAATCTATTGAAATGGCAAATTACAAAAGGTTCCGTTAAATTAAGGCTTCAGCATTTTTGATTGGGCTGCCAATTTCACGAGCACAATTGTTTCAAGGAAAGCCAGTGTTACCTGCTCTGAATGGAGCAAAGTGGCAAAGGGAGGCTCTGTGAACGACTGCAGCGTTTTCATATTAACCGCACGGAAGGGGGCAAGAAGGACGGCGATATAGCCATATCTAAACATTAAATGAGTCAACAGGAGACCTGAGGGGATTTCCAAGAATCCTGTCAAAGCATCACATTTTACTCCGACAATTCTTTAATAATATGATGCGAGCAACAATTTCTAATAAATACCTCCAGTGAGGTTAGCAGACAGTGGCAACCATGATTAAAATAAAATACCAACCCTGGCGAAGCAAAGTAAGAATCCCTCCCTTAGTTAATGCTCACGAGTCAATAAGCAACTCGTCTCCAGGTTGGAACACAGTGCAAGCAATTAGCCAAGCTTCTCTACCAGGGTGAAAAGCTGATACAATTTATTCTTAATGTGAATTGGCATTCTCTGATCCTTGTGATGGATGTACAATAAAAAAGTCTGCTTTGGTGTGTTCATATAATATGGTAAGAAAAACTAGAGTAATAAGAACAAAAGAAGTCTGAGCTTTACTTTTTTTTTTTAAACAAACAACTTCATAGTGCGTTTTTTTGAGCAAACGTTTGCAGAATGTCCAAACAGAGAACACCTTAAATGCAAAAACTTAGCAAAAACCAGTTGTTTGAAAACAAGAAGCCAATAGTAGCAAATTGTTTAATTTTAAGTTTCTTAATCAATATTTGGTCTTTGCACGAAGGGCACAAGACACCTACCTTTGCAGATGGTTTTACACGTAAAAGGTCTCCTATTTGCAATTACGTATGAGCGTTTTAATCATAATAACGAAAGGTATACAAATGTTTTTCAAAAATTAGTCTGAGCGATCAGTTTTACAATTATACTCTCTTCTATGTATCTAATAAGAACAATGGAACATGGTGACTGTATGTATGTTTTACTCCCTAAGAAACCTTGGGAACAACTGTCCACTTTAAACAAAGTCAAAATTCCTGAAAAAGCAAGTGGAGAAAAAGCACATTAGGGCTCAAAAAGTAAATAAATAAATATGTGATCATACACTTAATTTCACTGTAACAGCAACATAGTCACATCATTCTGAAACCAGGAAAGAGCCTCACTCTCAAGTCCCATCGTCTGCCTCCAAGTACCCACTGTGATGAGCTTGTGTCTCCAGCGTTTCTCTCTGTGCATACACACGAACAGGCATGCATGTACTATTTTTCTCTTTCTTATGTGTACACCTCCTTAGGTACATCTGGTAACTGTCTGAGACCTTCCATATCTGTACTTGCAGAGCTGCCTCCTCACGTTTATGACACATAACAATGGACCATGAGGATGGACCACATTTTATTTAATCAAGCCCCTGTTCACGGACATGTGGAGTGTTTGTTCCAAACTTGTGCAACTACAAATCACGTTAAAATGAACAGCTTTTCCTATTTGTTATTTCATATATGTGAACTTCAGCTTTCAGGCAAATTTCCAGAATTCGGATTGTATGATTCTGTAATTTTAATCAGCTTTGCCAAATCACCCTCCATAAAGCTGATACCGGCTTGCACTCCCTCGACAAGGTACGAGAGGCGAGGTTGAATTCAAAACGTGTTCAAAATCCAAAGCAATTTTGAAAATCATTCATTTGATAAGAAAATGGAAAAAAGTTTAGGGGCTACAGCATAGTTCATACCTTTCATATTTATAAGATCAAATCCCCCTCAGAAGGTTTGAATCCTGGATAAATCTCACAGGAAGGACGATAGCAGCAGAAGTTGTAACAGGCAGTATTTCCATTTATTCAGTTATTCAAATTGAGATAAAACTTGATCCACCCGAGACAAACCTGGCAGTTCATATCAGGAGACATAAAGCTTTCATACTTTCTATTATGGACTGAACTCTGCATCCCCAAAATGCAGATGGTGAAGCCCTGTCTTCAGAGATGGTGCCTTTAAAGAGGTAATTAAGGTTAAATAAGATCATGAGGGTGGGGCCCTAATCCAATGGGACTGGTGTCACTATAAGAAGGAGAAACAGCACAGATACGTGCACCCAGAGAGAAAAGACCAGACCACAGGAGGACACAGCGAGAGGGTGGCCATGTGCAACCGGAGGAGAGTGGCCCTAGGTTGCTGCTGACCTGCTGACACCTTGATCTTGGACTTCCAGCCTCCAGAACTGAGAAGATAAATTTCCTCAGAAAATCAACCTTGTATCAGTTAAGCCACTGAGCCAGTGGTATTTTGTCACGGCAGCCCTAGGGGACTAATGCAGCTTCTAACCAAGTAATACGCTTCTGGGAATTCATCCTAAAGAACAAAAGCTGTATGTTCAAACCTTACTGCAACCTGTTTATAAACAACCATAGAAATTGGCAACAAGCTAATTGCTATATACTAGCAGTTTTAGTCCACTAAAGCACATAAATGATGGGATGTTATCTATCCATTAGTTATTATTAATATGAATACTTCAGCCTCAAGGAAAAGTACATACAAAATAACGTTACATTTTTTTAAAGAATGTAAGTTAAGGAAAACAAAAAGTTTTAGAGATGAATGGTTGCGATAATCGCACAACGTCAATGTACTTAATGTCAAAGAATTGTACACTTAAAAATGTTAAAATGGTAAATTTTATGTTACGTATATTTTCCCACAATAAAAAAAAGTAAAACACAAATTACAACATATTCATAATTGTGGTTGTAACGTTAAAAAGTGTATCACGATTGGAAAAAGACAAAACTAAAAACTGTGTCTGGTCGACAGGACTGTCTGTAGAAAATGCTTCTATGTCTTTCGCATCATTTAAATAATATTCCAGTTGACAGTTTAGCAATTGGTCAATTACATGTGCGTTTGAGTGTACATGTGTGCATATAAAAAGATCTGGAATGACATGCAAGCCTTTAACAATGGCTATCTCTGGAGAAGAGAAAAGAAGTACAGAAATTCATCTGTATGTTTGATTTCTTTTTATTTATATGCATGATGTTTTCAATTTAATAAGAGCAAAAGTATTTTAATATTCAAAAACTAGAAATAACTCAAAAAGGATGAAAAATCAAACCTTAAACAAGACAAACAGAAAAAAATAATTCTATCTATATATCTAATTATTAATATAATCACACAGAAAAAAGATTCAATTTGAGAAATTTTTTAATACAATATTCTGACTATATACTCTTAATGAAAGTCTAAGGACAAAAAGTATTGTAGAAAATCTGTAAATTTTACAGAGTAACTTTGTTGTTGGTGTGATATTGGTATAGTTTATTCTGGAATGTTTATGTGTGTATTGTAATACAGAGTAAATGAATTAATATGTTGCTATTGCTGAGATCCAGGGTTCTCACTCTAGGAAAAAAGAGATGCAAAGATGGAACAGAAAAAGGTAAGAAAAAATCCTGTGGTATTGAGTTAAGAGTTGGTGGACGGACGGAAAGAAGGAAGGAGGAAAGAAGGAAAAGAAAAGAAATCTAAACACGTTTCCCATCTCTGCCCACTGACAGGGCCTAGAAGTTACGACATTCTAGTAACATGAGCACGCCAAGCATGCGGAGCTGGGCCGGGGCAGGGAATGAACAAGATGAACCTGGAATATGTTATTGCGGCAAAGTGAGGAAGCGCTCAAAAAACAGTGGGGATGTCAAAGGTCCCAAGAGCCAGGTTAAAGGTGCCCCCACTGGCCAGATGTGAGACAACTGGAGCATTGAAAAGAAAAATGAAGATGGTACATCAGATTTTAGAAAGTCCAGGAGTCCAAAGTGATGATAAAAAAATGGGTGGTCCTTTGCAAAAGAATGCCAACTAATAAATGTATGAGGAATAGTAACTAGAAAACCAGCATTTTGCAACCACCAGCAAAATACTTCATTCAGCAGGAATCATCAACTCATGCTAAAATCCTAAGATAAAATTTTACTGGAGAATAGGATATTCATATGGTCCCCAGTATCACCGTGTAGAGATTACTACGAGGAAAAGATCACTAGTGTTACAATGTAAAAGGATGGCAGACACCACCTTATGTGATCAAACTCAGTTTAACCAATGACAGAGCAAACTGGCACTGCACATCTTCTAACAGGATGCAATGCGGTCTTCTTGCCAAAATACTTAACCTGAATGCTGTCTGAGAAAACAATCAGACAAATCTAGAATGTAGGACTAGAATCTTAAGACAACCGGATTGGACCTTTCTAAAACTGCAGTCCTGAAAGCCCCAAAAAACCTACAACAGGATAATGGATGGTGGAGAGAAGGACTGGCCTGGATTAAAATAGACTAAAAGACATGAAAACAAATGCTCGACCCCTGACTGGATCCCAGAGCAGGATATTCGGGGAGATTCTGAATACGGACTGCGGTATAAACAACACTGATTTACCAACATTAACTGTCACGGGTGTCACATATACACACTTCTTCAGAAGTTTTAGGAAACAGACAATCAGCATTACCTTTGATGGGTTAATTACAATATTTCTGGCTGAGCCGTGTTCATCTCCCGTAAAGGCTGGTTGATTGTTGAAGCCTTGCTTTACATTTACTGCAGTGAGTTCATCCTGTTCAAGAAAAGTATTGATTAATCAGAAGGATGCAAAAGCCCCAACTTCACCCAGCATCCCACAGCCTGAGTAACGACGGACTTTGCCACACTCTGTAGAACGCACACCCAAGAAACCAGAGACGGGAGTTTAAGAACCAAGACACAAAGGTGGAGAAAGGGAGAAAGCGAATGCGCCAAGATGTGAACAGCGGCTGACTCTCAGTGCTCATTATGCAATTCTTTTAACTTCGCCGTACATTTGAAAATTTTTAACTAATAACTTGGAAAAGAAAAAACGAGCAAAAGTTCCCCGCCCTGCCCCCTGAAACATAAAATCATAGGACTTTTAAGATAGAATTGCTCCTAGAGAGCCCGTAGTTGGACTCTTCCTTCTCTGCCAGCCCCTGTGCTCGTCCCTATTTTATGTTCAAGAAAACCAGCTCACTCGCCTCACCCAAGACCCACCCATGGCGAGTGAGACAGCATCAAGGGCTCCCAGGCACACCCAGCACCAGCACCTCAAGCAGAGCGCAGTGGAGAGCGCACAAAGTTCTTTCCCGCACCTCGGCTCGCCGCACCTCTACCGATTCCGAGGGAGACGGCAGGCACGTGTCTTCACACCCATTTACAGATGGGAAGGGTGAGGCTCACTAAGCTAGTACAGTAACTGGACAGAGCCAGCCCTGAAATACCACCTTCTCAATCCTAGACTAGGAAGAGAAATTTCCATGACGCCGTGCCACCAAAGTACAAATGCCACAAGAAAACGTCGTCTAAAAATACCTAGCCACAACTCATACTCTCCTTAAAAAGATCTCCTCCTAGATAGATGCAGGACAACTTTCTTACCAAGGTCACAACACATCGAAAATAGCCCATGGCTTTAAAAAAGGAAGAAAAGATCTCGCCCTGCCCACATCATTGAGTTACAGAACTGAACCAGAGTTCCCAAAATACAGACTTGAGAGAATACAAGGCAAAGGTCTGAGTAAATGAAGCGACCTTCTGCTCCCCTCACTCCAAGCCAAGAAACGGTCTTAGCGACAGTCGGGTAACAGGAGCGACAGCGCAAGAACGAGAGTAGACGCTTTTCCTTCATAAGTAATTGCTGCAAGTGCAAACTGAAAACACCAACAGACCAAAATCACCGCTTTGATTAGGCAGGGAGGCTTCAGACAAAACGACATAGGAGCACCTGCAAGGTCACCCTGGCCGAGAACCCAGGCCTCCTGGAGACACGCCACGTAACTTTACTTAATTGTGTGTGCTCCACCTAACACCCAGGCGAGCCGCTGTTTTGGCGGGCTTTCAAAAGCCCCCGCCACAGCAAACTTCGCTCTACGGTAATCAAGTCTCCTCCAGGCACGGAAGGTCACCAAAATCGTGAGCTGCACAGAAGATGAGCTGCACGCACGTATCAGAAGACATCTCGAGCTGCTCCCATACTTTCAAATTAATTATTTGAAAATCTAGGGCAAAACTACATAATGCATATTTATGTCAGAAAGGCGTCAGTCAACTCAAAGCGAGCATGCGAATGAAATTTCTGTAGTTACACAGTCTAAGAAAGAAGGGGGACAAACGGGATCATGAGGAGAATGGGAGGAGAAAATTGAATTTTTATCTTTGATTTACCATCAGAGTATTACAGGAAACATTAATCGGGTGACAGCATATGTTTTTACTAAAAATACGCTCCAGCTTAATCAAGGGGAACTACGTGAGGCTTTGGACCAGTGAGCTCCAGCCGGCGCTGCTGCACTTTCTATTCTAAACTAAGCAGCTCCCTTAGCTGCTTGTTGTATTTGTCAACCACTGGGCTGGACAGACATGCCCCCACACACACACACACACACACACACAATCCGCAGGAGGCAAAGAACACGGGACCATGGTTACATGGCCATCACCGCATCTGATTTTCCTCAAACCAGGATCCACAGAGGCACTGGTGGAAGCCTTGAGTTCTGAGAACTTTTTCATCCCGTATTCCAAGTCGCATGAAAATACACCCAGAATCCGACCACTTCTCACCACCACCAACGCCCTCTCCAGGTCAGGCCACCACCATCTCACACCTGCACACCACAGTGACTTCTATCTGGCCTCCTCCTGCTCCAACCCTCACCCCCTGAAGGCCATTTTCAACACAGCAGCCATAGGGAGCTTTTGAAAACTTAGGTGAGATTGCGTCACTTCTGCTCCAAACCAGCATGATCTCCCCAACTTGGAGTGTAAGCAAAGGGCCCATGATGTCCTACAGGTCCCTATGCAACCTTGCCCCATGATCCCCTGACCTCATCCCTAGCCACACTTTTTCTCCACATCCTCTCCAATGCTTGTTATGTCTTGTCTTTTTAGTAATAGCCATTCTGAGGTGTACGAGGTGATATCTCACTGTAGTTTTGATTTGCATTTCCCTGGTAATTAGTGATGCTGAACATCTTTTCATGCACCTGTTGGCCATTTGTATATCTTCTTTGGAAAAGTATCTGTTCATATAAGTGCCCATCAACAGATGAATGAAGAAGATGTGGTATATATATATAACGGAATACTACTCAGCCATAAAAAAAGATGAAATCTTGCCATTTGCAACAACATGAATGGACCTCGATGGTATTACGCCAAGCGAAATAGGTCAGACAGAGAAAGACAATTACTGTATGACTTCCCTCATATGTAGAAGATAAACAAACATACACATGGATAAGGAGAACAGAGTGGTAGTTACCAGAGGGGAAGGGCAAATGGGGTAAAGGGGCACGTGTGTACCGCAACGGATGGAAACTAGACTTTGGTGGTGAACATGATACAGTCTATACACAAGTAGAAATACAATGATGTACACCTGAAACAGATAATGTTATAAGCCAATGTGACCTCAATAAAAGAAATGCAAAATCTCAGAGCTTCCTGCAATCACAATCTGCATCTTAAATTCCCAGGTGATGCATGGGCACTGTAAACTTCGAGAAACAGGGCCCTAAGAGACATGAGGAAATGGTTGTGTTGGTTCCCTTACCCAGGATCACCATAATGCAGTAACTACAAGATGCAGACAGCAGGTGTGCTGTCCTGCCATTTCAAACTGTCAGCAACAACATGACATGAATTCTCCAAAACAGTAAAAACTCTTAGTAAAGTTTCAAACTAATAAAATATAATCTTCTCCAAATGCATTAAAACACAATGGTTATACTCCTCAGATACTCAGTGCATATTAAATGTATATTAAAGTCATGCAAAAAAAAGCATTTCGAGATCATATGTAAACAGACTCCCGCCTGAAACAGAGAGGAAAAAGCAGATTTTGAAGGCCTGGTGGTACATGACAGTCCAGTGAGATGTAGGACAACTCTTCACTGAGCCCGACTGTCCACAAGGGGGACATCCAGCACCCCTGGCCCTGTCCACTAAACGGCAGCAGCACCCCAGTCATCACAACCACCAACGCCTGCCCCCTCCCCCATCTTCCACAACACGCCCACGCAGAGGACCCCTTCCACCTGTCAGAGCCCTGCTTCTGGAAAGGGGAATGGGAAGCTCTCGGTGTGAGGAACACGGGGCTTCACCCTGTGAAGTGACAGTCAGAGGCTGCTCCTGCTGCCACACCACAACAATGGGATGTCCACTGCCAGCTTACTACATGTCGTCCTACGGCTCGCAGCTGTGCTTAGACATGGAGGCAATGCTGACACCAGTGTTACGGATGACTAACCGGAAACAAACACAAGAGGGATGAGAGCACAGTGGGTAGGAGCCCAGGGTCTGCAACCAGACTGTCCGAAGTCGACCCTCCAGCTCCATTTAAGAGAGACTCTAAGCAAGCTCTGGAACTGTTCCTGTGCCTCAGTTTCTGCAAGTGTAAAACAGGGATAGTAATAGTTTCTACTCTTACTATCTCCATATCCCAGGTGAGGAAATAAAGAAGAGGTTAATCAACTTGCCCAAGGCCACAGAGCGGTAAAGAACTCCAAAGAACGCATGACCCTAACCATCAGACCATACTGAAATGGCCAGCAATCAGGACCACTGCTATTGTTGGTGTCATATTTCTGGTTCAGGAAAGTGATAACCTGAAGCTCCAGTAAGCACTAAAAATACAAAAAGTCGGCTTCGGAAATTACAAAGACCCTGGCCTTCAGCCGTGGTTCTTAAATTTTTTCGTGCCTCTGCATCCCCCGAAAGGGTCTGGTAAAGCACAGCTCTCTGGGCTCCACCCCCAAAGTGTCCAATCCAGCAGGTCTAAGGAGGTGCCTAAGAATCTGAATTTCCAACAACTCCTCAGGAGATGCTGACCTGGGGACCACACTTGGAGAAACACTGACATAAGATTTGGAGTTCGTGGCTTCCTAGAAAACCAGGGCTCTCATGTCCAGCATCAGTGCTCCACTCAGCACCTGGAGGAAACAGGAGGTCCCACCTCAGCTCAGAAGCAGGAGGTCCCAAAAAGAGAAGCCTGGTCAGAGTTCTCTGCCAGCCCCCCCACCCCACAAAGACACAAATATAGACACACACACACAGATCCAGGGAGGCAACAACTGCACCCAGCTTTCCCTTTCCCGTCTTTAACTTCTCACAGACCTGGGCCACGGGTGCTCGATCACACCCAGAAGCAAGGGAGCCCAACAGAGGCTCGGAGGTCCCTCTGTTTGAAGTTTCCTGATACTAAACTTCAGGTCAGCTTCCCAGAGAAACGACAAGAAAGGCGGTAAAAACCCAAAGCATCACAACCACACACACACCCTGAGGGTTTATTCCCTCCGGTTTCCGAAAAGGGATCAAGTCAACGCCAAGAATCCAAACAAGGAGTTAAGAGTGAGTCACACTCGAGCGCTCGCTATCCCTGCTTAGACGGGTCCCTCAAACTCCAGGAACGCACCAGAGACCCCTCGCAAAGCAGAAACATTCTCTCTGACCCGAGGACATCTGTGGACCCCAATTTGGGAAAATGGGCTCAGACATGGATACCTCATGGCGTTAGGCAGATGAAGAGACTCAGAACGAGAAGCG